ACAAAATTTAATAAATACTTATCATCTTGTTGAATAATTCTAAAATCATATTCAAGAAATCTTTATAAATCGAAAATTAAACTTCTTTAGTAAGCTATAGGTATGAAAATATCATAATTTCGATTTAATCTAATTAAATTAAAATTACTTACATGGATTTCATATCTATTTAATTTACACGACCAAAATAAAAATATCTATTTAATTTACACTACCAAAATAAAAATATCAATTTAATTTATAAAACAGATGGGTTATTTGTGATAAATTTTCTAGAAATCTTTAGAAGCAAGTAAAATATCTTTCAATTAATGATAATTGGCTAAAATGAGCGAAATTAATGACAAAAACGTTGATTGTTATGGAATTAGTCCTAAAAATATATGAACAAATTTATTATACGTAATTAATGTATAATATTGTTTGGAATATGCTTTTATTATTAGTTCCCATAAGTACAATCAGATTTTATTTGATTTCCATAAATATTTGATTTTATTTCGATTTTTCATTATTAATTCGAATATATATTCCAAAAAAAATTCAAAGATCCGATTTCAGAATTTCGGGTCAATTTTCTGATTTTAACCCGACCCATTTTCATTTGTACTTCTCTTTTAATAGTATAGAGATTTATTAAAAAATTTTGACAAAAAAAAAAAAAAAAAAAAGAGATTTAGTAAAAAAGTTTTTTTTTTTAATAAAATAAATCAATTAATCAACAAGCCAAAATCTCCGCCATGGCTAAGAGCTTCTGAGAGAGCCATGGCTACGATTTCACCCAACAAACTCTCAATCTTCCCTCTACTCTCCCTTCTCTGTTTCATCTCCATTTTCCTCCTCCTCTCTCTATCCAAACGCGCTTCTCTCTCCTCTCTCACCACTCACCGCTCCGCCACCGTCTTCCCTCCAAAATCCGACGGTTCCCTCTCACCTCTCTCCGCCACTTGCGATTTCTCCGACGGCTCATGGATCTACGACCCCAACCCCAGATCCACCAGGTACACTAGTAATTGTAAAGAGATCTTCAAAGGATGGAATTGCATTCGTAACAACAAAACCAATGGTCTCGAGATCTCTAAATGGCGATGGAAGCCTAAGGACTGTGATCTTCCTTCGTTTGATCCTCTCAAATTTCTTCAGACTCATCGAAATACCAACATCGGTACGCCTTGAAGCATTACTAGTTCTTGTTGTTTAGAATTAGAGGAATCAGAAGCTAAGTTGTGATATTCATGGAGTGTTCTTTGTTGATAGGTGTGAGTTTTGTATATCTTAAGAGTATTTTTTTGAACAGTGCAGGATTTGTGGGTGATTCATTGAATAGAAACATGTTTGTATCTTTATTCTGTATGTTAAAGAGTGTGACGGGTGAAGTGAAGAAGTGGCGACCAGCGGGTGCAGATCGCGGATTTACGTTTTTGGAGTATAATTTGACTATAGCGTATCATCGAACAAATCTGTTGGCTCGTTATGGTAGGTAGGTAAGCTGAGTGCTCTTTGTTGTTCCAGTATCTTTGTTTTATGATTGTTTACTCTATTCTACTTCCTCTCATCATGTTCCTCCAAAGATTCGTATTTGTAGAGTATCATTCGAAAGATCATGTTCTTGTAGCTTCTCTGGCGTTTATATCTTGCTACTTTTTTAGCTTTAAACTGTATTCTCTATCAGTTTGCATGCTTATCTGTGCCTTTCTCAACTCTGTGGTACGCACAGTGTAGGAATACCATGGTTTTATATGGTTTTCAAACTGATCAGACATTTTCTCTTGCTGACGGTTCAGGTGGTCAGCTAATGCTAATGGGGGTGAGTTAGAATCTCTTGGATTTAAAGAGGGCTATAGAGTTGATGTCGATATTCCAGACAGCTCATGGGAAAAGGCTTCGAGTTTCCATGACATTCTCATTTTGAACACTGGGCATTGGTAAAATACCCTTTTCTATCTATTGTCTAATGAAAATGAAACTTCTTTGAATACCAAAACTTTAGATCCAATGCTGTATCACTAAGTTCGTCTACTTCTGGTTCCTGGTTTCTGATTTAAAAATTAAGTTGCAAGTGTGAAATCCTCTAGTTTGAGTTAATTTCTGTTCCAGTCGGTCCACTGATTCTAGTTTGAGCTAATACATACATATATGACACTGTCATGACATGAAATCCTTTAAGTTGCCAAATTATCTGCAGTATTTCTTTCTCCAGATACTGCCGAAGTGCCGATTCAAAACTTGAATCTTAATAATATTCTTTATGCTGATCATTGCATTCAATTCCCTCAGTCTTCTTACATATCAATTAAAAGATACCTTGGTTTGTCATCTTTCAGTTAAAACAAAAATATTTGTGTGCACTTGAGATGTTGTTGACAACCTTTTGTTGTCATTCTCTTTGTAAGGTGGTGGGCGCCATCAAAATTTGATCCTATAAAATCTCCTATGCTATTCTTTGAAGGTGGCCGGCCAATACTTCCACCTATACCTCCTGCTGCTGGCCTGGATCAGGTTCTAAACAATATGGTATGCTGTTTGGATTTCTATGTTTTCCTGTGTTATTGCTAGGCAACTTGAGATATTTGATACTGCCATTGACAACTCTACTAGATTATCTGTTTACAAAAATGAACATGTGCTATGACATTTTTGGGCAAATATTGCATGACTTTGTAGTGAAGGATTAGTCTTTGAGCCAGCACCAAACTGTGCGATATGATAAACTAGTGGTAGTGAAATATTGTGATCCTCATACGACGTTCTGCCATTGTAACAGGTAAATTTTGTGGAGAAAACAAAGCGACCTGGAGGGATCATATTCTTCCGAACACAATCACCTAGGCACTTTGAAGGAGGTGACTGGAACCAAGGTGGTACTTGCCAACGACTGCAACCTTTGTTACCTGGAAAAGTAAGTCAGTTTCTATCAATTTGGTCGTTGATCTAATAGTTAATTGGTGTTATAAAGCATGTGGAATGCCCATACTCATGCCGAGTCACTCATGAAAAGCTACATGAATTCATTAGTTTGATCTGGCCAGTATCGATACTACGAAGTTCGAACCAGGGATCACATGAGATAATGGGACTGGTAATATAATAAAAGAACATGATACCCGTTATATGATTGGCTATATATTGGGTAGAGGAGCTGAGAGATTTTGGAACTTAAGCTTTAGTATAGTAAATTGTTAGGAGACGCTTATAATCGGCTTCATATTTTAATGGTAGGTTGAAGAATTGTTCTCGGTGAGGAACAACGGAACAAATGTAGAGGTTCGTCTGGTGAATCAACACCTCTATAGCTCCCTCAAGAGTAGAAGCGCCTTCCACGTTTTGGACATAACTCGAATGAGTGAGTACAGAGCCGATGCTCATCCAGCAACAGCTGGTGGAAAGAATCACGATGACTGCATGCATTGGTGCCTTCCGGGCATCACCGACACTTGGAATGATTTATTCATCGCAACTCTCCATACGATCAAAGGATAAGTAACCTGAAGGAAGAATCACACCCGTCTTTATAATTCAAGTAACATGTTTTGATTCGTTGGGTCTAGCGTCAGTCATTTTTTTCTTTTTGTACTCTTGTAAATTTTGATGTTATCTTCTGCGTATTTTTTAATTTAGTTATTTTTTGGTCTACAGTATGCAAAAGTGTTTTAAATATTATATACACTTTTCATTTTATCTTTTTGGTCAAACACTTTCGTATGTGTTTCTTTTTTTCTTCTAAAAAGTTGAATCATCTCATCAAGTATATATACAATAAATAAATAAAAACTTGACTTTTTTTTCATGATGTATACAGATTTCAGAAATATGAATACAAATTACTCGATCAAATAAAAAACAATGTTATCGAAGAAATTTAAATCATATTTTATATCTAGACAGAGTAAAATAGCATAATATAAACTCAGATTAAAATATTATTTTTAACTATGGAGTTCTAATCAGTATATATTTATAATTGTTATACTAAAGTCTTACTTTTTGTTATAGTTTTAATAACATGTCATTAAATAATAATAGACTAACATGGTATGTGTCAAAAAAAATACAATAATAAGAATGTTATACTATTTAACTATTTAACTTATTCGAGACCTTGTGCTGAGGTATAAAAATTGGTCTTTAAATAATATAGTTTTTTAAATAGTGAAAATTTTGGACCCTAAATCTTAAAGAAAATTGAATTTATTTTTTGAGGACTCTGTGCTTTTGTTCATCTGGCACACCCTTAGAGCCGGCACTGTCTAGGAAAGTATTAGTCAAGTGATTAACGGTCCACTTCGATATATTCTACCAGAGTTCGACTCTATTGGGTGGTATAGACTCTATTGGTGGTATTCCGCGATAATAGGAATTAGGTTAATGTATCAGAGCTTATTAGGACCCTACTTTCTTAAAAGTTACAAAATCTTTATTTTTTGCTTAAATGTTAAAGTTGTGAAAACAATTAAGACATAAGACGAGAGAGTCGCTATTTATAAACTGGTTCTACATATATGTTTCACTTTGACTTGTTATTAGAGAGATAGACTCCATTGTGATTGAGCTACTAATCAAACACTGAATGTATTTTTTTTTATATAATTGAGAATAACAAATCATCTTTCCAGTATATAATATCTTAACCTTTGTCAAATAATTTTTTTTTTTCATTTTTAAAGTGTTTTATATTATAATTATAGTCACTTAGCTTTTCTAATTAAATTTTGACATATGCCAATTGTCAAAATTATAAAAGAAAATAAATCATTTATCCAAATTTTTTTAAAATATGCAAAAACATTTGAGAAATTTTAATTATTAATTGAAATCATGCCATCATAAGCTATGGTTTCAGTAGAAACGCAACTCCTAGTTCGTTAACTTTTTGTGCTCTGTTTTATAAGTTGCTCTGGTTTTGGTTATGATATTATTGCATGTTTCCTTTATGACCAAACACTTCTGTAAATATCCTTTTGTTGATTAATTAATTTCATATTTCAACAAAAAAAAAAAAAAATCATCCATCATTAAAGACTTCACTAGCAATCTCGTTAGCTTTCAATCCATTAAACATTTTCCAGAAAATTAACCAACTAGAATCAAATTGAAACCCTAAATCCCACCAAATCTAAAATACCAAACCCCTATCCGGTTAAGGCCGGTCCAATGCAGAAGAAGCTTCGGAAGGATCGAAGATTTGACCAGCGAACAAAACAGTTCCGGTTTTGTCTTCTCTAATCAAAAAGAGAAATGGATGTTCTGCCACAAAATCTATCTTCTCCGGCTCAAACGCACAGCTGCCGGTTAAACACACGACAAAAGCAGTAGCAGCCGCAGCTTCAGTACCTTCTTCATCAATCTCAATCAAAGCTTTCTGATATAATGACACTTTAAGCTCAAAGACGTCATTAAAAACACTTGAAGCTTCAAAACCGAATTCGATCTTAAATTTTGGAATTCTGAAATCACCAACATCAACTCGGTATTTCGGAATATGACTATCCAAGAATCCAGGAGTAGATGTCATTCTCTCCAAAAGATTATCCAATTCACCTTTCTTGTCAGGGAGATAGAGATACATGGAAAACTTGCGGTTGGTATCATCACGGCTTTGTCGATAAGGAAGCTTGAGGACTTTGAAACCATCATAAGCCTCTATGAATTGCCTCTTGTAGCTTCTCATGAAAGGCACAGAGACTGATTTGTCATTGAGAAGGTGAAATGGTTTCTCTTTTGTCATGGACTTATCAAATTCCTTTTCCCAAGCTCCCTTGAAGTACAATGCGTTTCCATATATCCAATTAGTTAGGCTTGTAACAGATCCATAAGGAAGAAGATCTTTGATGAGGTCATTGGTGTGACGTGAAGCCCACGTATTTGTTGGTGTAAGCTTGAAGAAGAAGTAACTTGGGCGATAAGTTAGTTGTTTTATTAAGAGATAATGTCATATCTTTGGGAGTTATCCATAGATATTAGTTTTAGGAGTTATCTAAAACAAGTCATAGTTTGTTTAGGATTAGGTCTTGTGTTTTTCTATATAAGAGTTGCCAAAGCTTGTGGTAAACCTTAAGAGATTTGAGTGAGAGATTAAGGAGAGCTTTAGTTTGAGTTAGTTCTAAAGTTAATAAAAGAAGTGCTTTTATAATCCTTGATCTTAATTTTCGATTCTAGATTTGGTATCAGAGCCTATAAACTTTGTTTCTCAAAACGTGATTAAGAACAAAGATCGTTAGAGATATGAGTGAATTGGCCACGACGGGTGACAAACCAAAGGAGGGAGTATCCTCATCCATACAATGTCCGATGTTAACAAATTCCAACTACACAGTTTGGACCATGAGGATGAAGGCAACTCTCCAAGTCCATAAGGCGTGGGAAACAATCGATCCCGGTTCCGCTGACTTAGAGAAGAACGATTTGGCCCGTGCTTTATTGTTCCAATCTATACCAGAGTCGATGATCCTACAAGTTGGAGAACATGAAACCGCAAAAGGTGTCTGGGATGCCATCAAAGCCAGAAACCTTGGAGCTGATCGAGTGAAAGAAGCTAGGTTACAAACGCTTATGAATGAGTTCGATAGGCTGAAGATGAAAGAAAGTGACACAATCGACGACTTTGCAGGGAGAATCTCGGAGATTTCTACAAAAGCAGCATCCTTAGGGGAAAACATTGAAGAGACAAAGGTTGTTAAGAAGTTTCTTAAGAGTTTGCCTAGGAAGAAATACATCCATATAACTGCAGCTCTAGAACAAGTTCTAGATCTTAAGAACACAACCTTTGAAGACATTGTAGGAAGGCTTAAAACTTACGAAGACCGAGTCTGTGATGAAGACGAAGATTCACAAGAAGATCAGAGTAAGCTCATGTTTGTGAACTCAGAATCACAAGATGGAGGAAGAGGACGAGGTCGTGGTCGCCTTGGAAGAGGCCGTGGAAGGTTTGGATATCAAAACAGAGATTACGGGTATCAACAGGGCTATCAACAGAGAGATAAGTCTAAGGTAACATGCTATCGATGTGATAAAACAGGGCACTATGCCTCAAATTGTCCTGATCGACTTCTCAAGTTAATCAAGTTTCAAGAAAAGGAAGAAGAAGACACTCAAGAAGCCGAATCTCTTATGATGCATGAGGTAGTATACTTGAATGAGAGGAATGTGATGCCAAGAGTTTTTGAGACGTGTTCCGACAAAGCTTGGTATCTCGACAATGGCGCCAGTAACCATATGACAGGACATCGAGCTTGGTTCTGTAAAATGAATGAGATGGTCACAGGAAAGGTGCGATTTGGGGACGACTCACGAATTGACATAAAAGGGAAGGGATCAATCTTGTTTGTAAGCAAAACCGGAGAAAGAAGGATCTTAGCTGATGTATACTACATTCCTGACCTCAAAAGTAACATCATAAGCTTAGGACAAGCCACTGAAGCAGGTTGCGATGTTAGAATGAGAGATGATTACTTAACCTTACATGACAGAGATGGAAATTTGCTAGTCAAGGCAACAAGATCAAGAAACAGACTCTACAAAGTGAACCTGGAAGTGGAAGAAACGGATTGTTTGCAGCTTGTGGAGTCTAACGATTCAACACTATGGCATGCTAGACTCGGACACATCAATCTTGAAACTATAAAGTCGATGGTTGCAAAAGAATTAGTCACAGGAATTCACAGTGTACCAAAAGAAAAAGAAGCGTGTGCATCTTGTTTACTAGGAAAACAAACAAGGCAAACATTTCCAAGTTCAACTTCTTATCGAGCATCACAAGTATTAGAACTCATCCATGGTGATCTCTGCGGACCGATATCACCTTCTACAGCTGCCAAGAAGAGATATGTATTCGTTCTAATAGATGATCACTCTCGTTACATGTGGTCAATATTGCTAAAGGAGAAAAGTGAGGCATTTGACAAATTCAAAGGATTCAAGAAGCTGGTTGAACAAGAGAGTGGAGCTAAAATCAAGACACTTAGAACCGACAGAGGAGGAGAGTTCATGTCTCGTGAGTTTCAAGAGTTCTGTGTGATAGAAGGCATCAATAGGCATCTAACGGCTCCATACACTCCGCAGCAAAACGGAGTAGTTGAGAGAAGAAATAGGACTCTCATGGAAATGACTAGAAGTTTACTTAAACACATGAACATGCCTAACTATCTTTGGGGAGAAGCTGTGAGACATTCAACTTATATCATAAACAGAGTAGGGACAAGAGCCTTGACAAATCAAACACCGTATGAAGTGTTTAAAAACAAGAAGCCGAATGTAGAACACATGAGAGTTTTCGGATGTATGAGCTATGCTAAGATAGATGGACCACATCTGAAAAAACTTGATGACAGGTCAAAAGCTCTTATATATCTTGGGACTGAACCCGGTTCAAAGGCATATCGCCTCTTGGATCCGACAACTCGAAAAATCACAGTGAGCAGGGACGTCGTTTTTAACGAAAACAGAGGCTGGAAGTGGAGTAATACAGAAGAATCTAGCCAAGAATCAGGAACTTTCACTCTCAATTTAGGAGACTTTGGAAATCACGGGATTAGTGATGAGAGCATTCAAGAAACAGAGGAAAACAGAGTGAACAGAGACGATGACAATGGTTATGACGAAGAAGATGAAGATGCAGCAGATAAGGAGTCTGAAAGTGTTGAAACAGAGCAGACCCCGACAGTGCAAACCCCGATGGTACCTTTATTGAGAAAATCAGGAAGACAAGTCACAAAGCCGAGTTATCTTAGTGACTATGTGTTAATGGCAGAAATCGAAGGAGAACATCTTTTGCTCATGATCAACGAGGAACCAAGTGACTTAAGAGAAGCAAATAAGTTACAAGAGTGGAGGAATGCGTGTGAAGAAGAGATCATGTCAATAGAAAAAAACAAAACATGGAGTCTTGTTGATCTTCCCATTGGTTGTAAACCAATTGGCTTGAAGTGGGTTTTTAAACTAAAACGTAACTCCGACGGAAGCATAAACAAACATAAGGCAAGACTTGTGGCAAAAGGGTATGTGCAAAGACATGGGATTGATTTCGAAGAAGTATTTGCTCCGGTAGCAAGAATTGAGACAATACGTTTCATCATAGCGTTAGCAGCTTCAAACGGATGGGAAGTGCACCATTTAGATGTTAAAACTGCATTCCTCCATGGAGAATTGAAAGAAGATGTGTATGTAAGTCAACCTGAAGGTTTTGTGACTAAAGGAAGTGAAAGAAAAGTTTACAAGCTACACAAGGCTCTCTATGGACTAAGACAAGCTCCTCGGGCATGGAACACTAAGCTAAACAAAATTCTCAGAGAATTGAGCTTTGAAAAATGTTCTAAAGAGCCTTCGCTTTACAGAAAGAAAGAAAAGGAGAACCTTCTCATAGTAGCTGTCTATGTTGACGACTTACTAGTCACGGGATCAAGCTTGGATGTGATACTTGATTTCAAGAAAGGAATGGCGGGTAAGTTTGAGATGAGCGACTTGGGAAAACTCACCTACTATCTCGGAATTGAAGTGTTTCAAGGAGATGATGGGATTGTGTTAAGGCAAGAAAGATATGCAAAGAAGATACTTGAAGAAGCTGGGATGAGTGAGTGTAACGCGGTTCATACACCAATGACTTCAGGTCTTGAACTTTCTAAGGCACTAGAAGAGAAGCGAGTCAATGAGAAAGATTATAGGAGGAACATCGGATGTCTTAGGTACCTACTTCATACACGACCTGACCTTTCTTTCTGCGTTGGGATCTTGAGTAGGTACTTACAGGAACCAAGAGAATCACATGGAACGGCATTGAGACAGATTTTAAAATACATTCGGGGAACCTTAACTCATGGTCTACATTTTAAGCAAGGAATCGAGTCAGGTTTAGTGGGCTATAGCGATAGCAGTCACAATGTAGATCTTGATGATGGAAAGAGCACCGCTGGTCACGTCTTTTATCTCAATGAATGTCCTATTACATGGTGTTCTCAAAAGCAACAAGTGGTAGCTCTCTCTTCTTGCGAAGCCGAGTTCATGGCAGCTACGGAGGCAGCCAAGCAAGCTATATGGTTACAAGAACTGTTTGCGGAAGTCATTGGAGTAGAGTGTGACAAAGTAACTATAAGGGTTGATAACAAGTCAGCTATTGCACTCACGAAGAACCCGGTATTTCATGGAAGAAGCAAGCATATTCATCGAAAGTATCATTTTATACGTGAATGCGTAGAGAATGGTCAGATTGAGGTGGATCATGTTCCTGGTGAAGAACAAAGAGCAGATATCTTAACCAAGGCACTTGGAAGAACTAAGCATAAGGAGATGAGAGATCTCATTGGAGTTCATGATGTGTCAATAGAAGATTTCAAGCTTAAAGGGGAGAATGTTGGTGTAAGCTTGAAGAAGAAGTAACTTGGGCGATAAGTTAGTTGTTTTATTAAGAGATAATGTCATATCTTTGGGAGTTATCCATAGATATTAGTTTTAGGAGTTATCTAAAACAAGTCATAGTTTGTTTAGGATTAGGTCTTGTGTTTTTCTATATAAGAGTTGCCAAAGCTTGTGGTAAACCTTAAGAGATTTGAGAGAGAGATTAAGGAGAGCTTTAGTTTGAGTTAGTTCTAAAGTTAATAAAAGAAGTGCTTTTATAATCCTTGATCTTAATTTTCGATTCTAGAGTATTTACCTCCTCACGCACTTCTTCAGCCTTCAAAACAACAACACAAAATCCATATTCACAAAACCACAACCGAAGATCATAGAATAAAAATTGCAATAGAGATCACATAACTCTTAACCTAATAATCAAGCAAAATCAGAAACTAACCTTGTTTCGGAAATCAACTTGAGTGAAACTAGCCTTGAACAACTTCTGAAAGAGATCTTCCCAGTCGGGGTTACACGAAAGCGATTGCTCCATCCACACACCATTAACCGCCGCGATTTTAGGCCCGCCTCTTTCGCTTCCGTCTCTGAGGACGACGGAAGCGAGTTCGTGGAAGATGGCGTTGATCTCTTCGGTGGAAGAAGACCTAAGAAAGGAGAGGATGAAGGATTTTAATGATTTGCTGTCAGAGGTGGCAGCAGTCATGGTGAGAACGGCGTTGATCGATGCCGGAGAGAAGACAAAGTTAGAGTTTTCGGCGACGGCAGAGATTACTTTCCCTGCAAGGAACATAGAAACGTCGTTTTGGTTCTTCATCGCTTCTTGCATATTCATCTTTTGCTTTTTCTTCGTTTTTGAGAGAGAGGGATCTGTGATTTCCGATGTGCTAAGTTCTTGGTTTTTTCTTTTGAATCCATATTTTAAGTTTTCTTCTGTGCATACTCTCAAATACATGTGAATATATATAGAAGATGTAAGATGCTTTTACTAGGGTATACAACTTTCACTGCATAGCAAAAAAAAAAAAAAACTATAGGGTTTGGTGCAGTAAAAATTTCTAAAACCTAACAACAATTTTTTTTTTAATCAGTTAAGAGAACAAAAAAAGTAAAAATACAATAATTATAGATTTGGAAAACAAAAATTTCTATATAATAAGATTTGTATGATAACACAAGCAGATTAGGTTTTATATAATAAGATTTGTAATTTAAATGTATTAATTTTATTAAAATATGGCGATTTAATTAGTGGACATAAAATGAAAAAAAAAAAACTTAATGGGCATATCGGCCCATTAGTGGCGGCGGGCACCACTCCAAGATAAACCGTCATTCTTCACCGCCCGTTATAAGTTAGATAATCGGCAGACGTGACTGACACGAAATTGAAAACCTTAGATTTCTCAATCGGGAGGCTTTCTTTTTTCCGGCGACAGAGAAAAGAACAAAGAGAAGAAGATGTCGACTCGAATAACTCCTGGTGTAGGAGCTAATCTTCTCGGCCAACACGCCACTGAAAGGAACCAAGACGCCACCATCTACGTCGGAAATCTCAGTCCTCAGGTTCTTAACTTTTCCAACTTCCATGACTCTCTTCTTATGATAATACCAGTTCTTGTTCTTGTGAGTACCTAAAGAAAAGAAATTTTAGGGTTTCGGAATGATTTATAGTGAAACTGATCTATTCTCTTCTTTGAATTTTTAGCTTTCTGAAGATTTGCTTTTGGAATTGTTCGTACAAGCCGGACCAGTTGGTAAGTTAATATCAATATATCTCGTTTAGTTTCGAATGGTAAATTTAGGGTTTGGTTTGATTCATATTTCTGACATTAGCTTATATATATATATATATATATCTCCTCTGGTTTTTGGATTTGCATCAGTTAGCGTCTTTATTCCAAAAGATAAGGTGACAAATCTTCAACAAACATTTGGATTCGTTCAATTCCGTAATGAGGAAGATGCTGACTATGTAAGTGTCACTCTCTATTTCTTTATGTGAGAGGTTTTATTAGACTTCTTTTTGGGTACAATGCTAACAAATTGCAATTGTTTTTGTGTAGGCAATTAAGGTTTATAACATGATTAAGCTCTATGGGGAGCCTATACGTGTTAAAAAGGTATCAAATTGTATCTCTTAATTACTATGATTATTTTGTGAGTTTTGATACTAACATTTTGGTTTCTTGATGAAAATTGTATTAGGCATCTCAAGATAAGAAGAGCTTGGATGTTGGTGCTAACCTTTTTATTGGAAACCTTGATCCTGTAAGTATCATGATATGGTAATACACAGAAATTGGTAAATTCAACAATAGCTGACTAGGTTTTGCTTTTTTTTTTACAGGATGTGGATGAAAAGATGTTGTATGATACTTTTAGCGCGTTTGGTATGGTTGCTGATCATCCTAAGGTTAAATTCTTTCTTTCGTTTGACTCTTGATCTGGTTTGTAGCTAGATACCATTCTTTTGGGAAATTAAAAGAATCTGATTTTCATCACAACTTTTCATTTCAGATAATGCGAGATCCCGATACTGGAAACCCACGAGGTTTCGGTTTCATTAGCTATGACTCTTTTGAGGCATCTGATGCTGCTATTGAGGTAATTCTCTGTTTATTTTATGACAACATTTCGATAAATAATGTCTCTACTCACATAATCCATTGTTAGTATAATAACTAGTAATTCCTCTGACATTTCTCCGACCTTTGCAGGCAATGAGTGGACAATATCTGAGTAGTCGTCAAATAACAGTCTCTTATGCATACAAGAAAGACACCAAAGGAGAGCGACACGGTACTCAAGCAGGTTAGAATGCTCTTTATACTCTTGTCTTGTCTTAACTTATGTTTTTTTCAGTTTCTTTCCATCATTGGAACAATAATAACAGATTACTTTTGTGAATTACAGAGAGGCTTTTGGCTGCTACAAATCCAAGTTCCCAAAGAAGCAGACCCCATACGCTATTCGCAAGTGGCCCCTCTACGCAGATTAATGCTCCTAAAGTTAACGGTCTACCACGTCCGTTCGCTAATGGAGGTATGCAGCCTGTCCCGATCCCGGCTCCACATCCACCACCACCACCACAAGTGTATCAAACTCAGCCACCATCTTGGCCTTCTCAGCCACAACAACACGGCTTAGTGGTTCCACCACCGCCCATGCAATTCCGTCCGCCTCAAGGTATGCAGCCGCAACCACCACCTCCTCAGTTTCATCATCACCAACAAGGTTTCGGTGTTCCAAGGCCGCCACCACCATATCAAGCCATGGGAATGCACCAACATGGCTGGCCACTCCAACATATACAGCAAGGTGTACCACCACCACAACAACTACCTATGCACCATCATCATCACATGTCTATACCTCCACCACCACCACCACACCAAGGTTGATGAATGATGATCATCTTTTGAGTCTTGGACCAAATCAATACATTGTTCTAAAAATCTCCGCATACCTTCTATTACTCTCCGCTTAATCGCTAGACCCACCCTATATGCCTCGATTAATGACTAATAACTACAAGAAAACAGCTAAAATCTTACGGATGTTTCCGTCAATTTTCCGTCAGAAACAGCTATATAACCCAACAGAAAACCGTCGGTTCTAGAGTGTCGGTAATTCATCAGAAATCAGAAATTACCGACGGATTTTCGAGGGGAATATTACCAACGGGTTACTGATAGACATTATTGTCACTAAAGCCATCGGGAATCCGTCGGTATACCTCATCGATAATCCGTTGGTTGTAATTTCCTTACGGATTACCGATGGTTTATCGCTAATAAAATAACCAACTTTCTCCGTTACTACCGACAGATAACTGAGGGATGTTACGAAAAATCTCCGTCATTACCAATGGATAACTGAGGGATGTTACGAAAAATCTCCGTCACCGACGGATAACTGAGGGATGTAACGAAAAATCTCCGTCATTACCGACGGATTACTGAAGGATGTTACAAAAAATCTCCGTCAAAACCGACGGATTACTGAGGAATGTTACGAAAAATCTCCGTCATAACCGACGGATTACTGAGGGATGTTACAGAAAAATTCTCTGTCATAACCGAAAGATTATCCAAAGGATTTTGTTTATTTTGTTTTTAATATATTTTCAAATAAATAAAATTATTGAATACTTTTAGAAAATATTTAAATTATAAATTAAGAAATTGCATTAATATTTAAATTTCATAATTAGTAATGAAAACATTTTAAATTCATAAACAACAAATTGTCTAAACAAAGAGGGAAATCATAAAAATCACGACAACTTCGCGCGCATCTCATTCATGAGCGTTGCCATCTCCTCATCCCTCTTCTTGTACTCCGCATCTCGCCGCATTTTCTCCACTTTCTATTCTTCTAATGCCGATTTTTGTTCTTCCATTTCTATCTCGAAAGTCGCAATCCGCTCATCCTTTTCTTTCATGGCTTGATGAAAATCGATGAGCGGAGAATATGAGGAACCCGAGGAACGAGAAGAAGATGATATTTGGGAAAGATTTCCTAACCCAAAAATCCGTCCCTTGGATTTATGGGTTTCCTACAGGTCAAATAAGAAAAATTAGTTAAACAACTTTTTTTTTTTTGTCAACCACACATTAATTATTAAAAAAATCATTGATTGGTTACCCAATTAGGAGGAATAGTACTTACAAAAGTAACTTCAGTAAATAATAGACGAGAAGAACGGGCTAAGCAGTCCGCCTTGACATTACATAAACGAGAGATAAAGGGAAAGCGAGAAAAAGGGGAAAGAGACACCAATCAAACCAAATTCGTCTAGTTGATTGGAGAAGGCTGGCCATTCTTCAGGTGATTGTACCATCGAGACTAACTCTGAGCAATCTATTTCAAACGCCTGACAATCGATCCTTCTTGAAAGGATATTCTTCATGGCCCAAATTAAGGCTTCCATCTCCGAGTGAAGGGGGGAGGGGCATCTCCGGAGGCACTTTGCACCTAGCAATATTGTTTGATCATTTCCTTGAAAACACCACCATCCTATACCCATAGTTGGATCCGAAGATTTCCAAGAGCCGTCAATCCGGCATCTTAAGGATTGGATTGGGCTTTCCAGTATTTCCGTAGTTATAGTAGTTTCGATCGGTTCCAACTGAGCATCTTCCCACATTGATTTCTCACTCAATGCGTGATTTAAAATATCTGTGGGTTCAGATTGTATTCATTTAAAAACTTTTTTATTCCTATCTTTCCATATAAACCACAATATCCAAGCAAAACAGTTGTTTCTGTCTCCCCAATCTGGAGGAAGTGGTAACCTCCAATAAAGATAATCTAGATTTAAAAATTCCGAGCTTAGAGGAAAAATACCCGAACACATAGATATTGGAGATAATTCCCATATTTTTTTTTTTGAATGGAGACAGGCAAATAAAGCATGATTTATTGTTTCGTCTGCCATCTCACACTTTTTACAGATAATATCACAATGAATCCCTCGATGTGCTAATTTTGAGGTAACTGCCAAAGATCCGGAGGCAATTTGCCATAAGAAGTGTTTTATTTTTGGTGGAGCTTTGATTTTCCAAGCTTGTGCTTGTAATTTTCTATAATTTGGGCCCATTCGATTGTTTCGTCAACCCTCGAGCAAGTCGATATCCTGACTTTACAGTATATTTTCCGGATTTTGTATAATGCCAACTAAGCCTATCTGGTTTATAAACTTGACTAATAGTTAGTTCACTAATAATTTGAATATCTACCGGATCAAAAAATTCTTGTAAAATTGGAAGGTGCCATTCCTTAGAAACTGGATTAATTAAATGATTAACCATTAGGCTTGGAAGTAACAAATTCTCTCTTCCATTTGCAGGTCGTGGGTTAACATCGGGGGTCCAAGGATCACGCCATACCGATATGTTAAAACCCGAGCCCAGGGACCATCTTGCACCCATTTCAACAAGTCTTTTAGTCGAAAAAATACTCTTCCATCCAAACGATGGAGAGTTTGGCTTTTTAGCATTTAAAGGATGAACATTTCTAAAATATCTTCCTCTTAGTACTCGAGCTACTAAAGAATTTGGGTATTAGATTAATCTCTAATACTGTTTAGCCAACATGGCATTATTAAAAGTATCTAGAGAATGAAAACTCAAACCTCCTTTTTCTTTAGTTATATTAAAATAACTTTAAAATATTAAAATAATAAATAAAGCATATTAAAATATTATAGAAACAAATATTACCTCGTATAGAATTTCGTTCATCTTCTCTCATCCCTATTCAGAGGAAGTCACCGAACCATCAACAAATTGGGAAAGGAGTTATGTCTCTTTACGCTCTTCGTCTTTTCGGGGACCATCTTTGCTTGACCATCTTGTACTTGCTTTGTTTTTTTGTTGGTGTGCATATCTTCCATCAAAGTAAGATTATCGGGTACCACACCATCTTTAACACTACATGCAAAATATTTTCAAAAAGTTTGAAGACTGTATAAAAATTAATTAAAAGTAAAAATAATTATAAAAAAAAACTTACAAGTTGTCGTTGTCGGCTACAGGCGCTCGTTGCACATGCATTGTGCGTAGCAATGCCCAACCCGCCTCGGTTGCTTTTTTTGTTCTTCGAATTATTCTTGGAAAGTGTTATCGTCTCCGGTTGACCCCAATAGCGAACCAAACCAACAAAGACTTTCTCGTTCGCCCCTTTTGGCATCTTTCCTTTCACCCACCTTCGATTCAACTCGTGCAAAGTGTAAGAGTAATGTTTAGCGGTAATAGTCTTGAATGCTTTGCGAACATCATTTGTGAATCCCGATGCCAAGTGAAATCTTGCTAAAAATTACCAAAAAATGGATTAGTAAATTAAAAATAAAAAACAAAAACACTAAATTAAGAAATTAAGGTTGAAATGTCCATTACCACCACAATCAGGAGTCATCTCTGCTCCAAAATCTCGTAACTGTTCTAGTAAATTATGCCCATCGATTTCAGGAGGTGGCACATTAACCACTTGCTTATTCTTTTTAAACAATGTTCTCGTACGCCGGTAAGGATGATGAGCAGGTAGAAATCGTCTATGGCAATCAAACCAACTCGTCTTACGTCCGTGCTTGATTGGAACGCATCTGTGTTATCTTGACAATACGGACACGATAACTTTCCATGATTTTTCCATCTAGATAGTATCCCATAAGCTGGGAAGTCACTGATAGTCCACATAAGTACTGCACGCATCTGGAAATTCTGCTGGGTTGATACATCATTTGCGTTTACACCATGATCCCATAACATTTGCAACTCATACATCAATGGCTGGAGGAACACATCAAGTTATCTCTTTGGATGATCTGGACCGGGAACAAGAATCAAAAGGAAGAGAAACTCTCAACGCATGCATAAAGATGGCGGCAAGTTGTAAGGTGTTACGATTATTGGCCACAATGAATATTGCCTTCCATACTTTTCAAATGGGTTGAAACCATCTATACATAATCCTAAGTACACGTTCTGTTGCTCATACACAAAATTTGGATACACAGATTGAAAATGTTTTCATGCTTCAGCATCTGAAGGATACGTAATCTCTCCATCTGATCTATGTTCTGCATGCCATCTCATTGGACCCGCCGTACGCTCAGATTGATATAACCGATTCTACCTTTCTGTTAAAGGTAAATACCATATCCGCTTATGTGGAACAAGAACCCGACTGCCAGTTTGTTGATATCTCGGTTTACGACAAAATCGACATCTAGTCCAATTTTCGTCTTCTTTCTAATAAATCATGCAATCGTCTTCGCATACAACTATCATCTGATACGGCAAACCAAGACCGGCAACCAACTTCTAAATCTCGTAATATGTACCTGGAAATATATTATCTTCAAGTAAAATATCTTTAACAAAATCTGTAATCACATCCACACATTCCTCAGTCAAATTATAGTCCGTCTTTATGGTCATCAATCTGCTTGTAGATGATAAAGCCAAATGACCTGCTCTACATCCTCCATATAGCGGTTGTTTATTTGCATCCAACATAGAAAAAAAACTCCCATGCTTCTGAATTAGGTTCCTCTATAACTATCAACATTTTCACCCAGATAATGCATATTTTTCCTATATGCATCATTAACCATCTGAACAGTACCTACTCCATAATCTACTTCTGTTCTAGGTTCCTCTACGCTAGCAGCAATATATGGTTCGCTAGCACTAGAATATTCGGGTCATTTGGCTTTAACAATGAAGAAACCAAATCTTGTAACCCGGCATAAAACCATTGGAATAAAGATTACTCCATACTAAATCAATCCTTTTATTATGAGAATTTCGAGAAATCGAACATGGACATTTCGACTTACGGGGTTTCTTGGCCCTAGGTTGTTCACAAGCTAAATCCATGAACTCACCTACACCACAGGCGTACTCATCTCTTAATCCGTGCAACTCCAAATCTAGCATTGGTTCGTCCATCCACGATCGAAAATAATAAGAAGAAGACTTTTTTCGGGTTTTTTTCAAACAAAGATTGAGTATGAGTGAGATGATGAGAATGAAGCGGGTTTGGGTATTTATAGAGAAAAGACAACCCATATCTATCAGTAATCTGTCGGTTTTCCGTCAGTAATCTGTCGGTTTCCCGTCAGTATGTTTGAACTTTTAAACGGCTATAAAACGGCTATATTAAAGGATATTTTTTTTTACCGATTACTTACGGTGTAAATTAACGATAATAATTGCCTCAGTATTCCGTCAAAAAACAGAAAAACATTACCGATGGAAATGCTTCCTTTAGTAAATTATCTTCCATTTGTTTGAACTTTTAAACGGTTACACGAACGGATATATTCTTTTACCGATTACTGATGGCAAATATTATCGGTAATGATTCCTCACTAATCCATCGGAAAATAAAAAATTACCGATGGAAATTATGCCGTCAGTTAATTATCTACGGAAAACCGACATAATCCGTTCCGTCAAACAACAATCAGTTTTCTGTCGGTAATTACCGACGAATCTTAAACCGTCAGTAACGCTGTCAGTTTAGACCGTGTTTTCTTATACTGAATCCTTTAAAAATTAAAATCAAATACACAATTACTTTCCGCCTGAGCCGATTACTTCCCGCATAATCCGATTACTCTCCGCATAATCTTACATATCTCGATTATTTTTAGATTGCAAATATAAAAAAACTTTTATTTTTGTTAATCAAACATTTGAATTGGGAGTTTGTGATGTTTAGCAATAACTTATGTTCAAATTTTAATAAAATCATAGATGTTTTAATAAAAATCATAAAAATTTGTCTCCAAAATACATTTTTATGTGTTTACTGTAATTTTAAAAACATTATTGGATTAATATGTTTTTTAAATATTAAAATAACTCTAACTAGTCTCCAATTTTAATCCAATTTTCTGATTAATCGCTAGACTCATACCGAGCTCCCGACTAGCGCCTAGCGATTTTCAAACAAGGCTCGAAAATCATTGAGATAAATCATAAATGTATCTAAAGTATAAATTTATCTAAATGTATCTAAAAATTTATGTTTATATTATATTACTTAATGCATAAAAATTGGAGGAATGTAAGAAATAATTTAAAATTTAGGGGATGTTATTGGTTTATTAATTTGTAAATCCATATAGGATTTGGAAATTTCTATTAATTATGAAATCAAGATATATAGATTTTGAAATAACATGTGTTTACCCATGGATTTGAATCCTTCTATTTTTCTCTTTCAATTCCATACAAATCCATTAAAAACATAATTTAGATTCTCAAATCCAAAAACAAATGACTAAACGAATAACATAGGATTTTAACTAGTATTTATAAATCATGGAACTAATAACACATGATTTTAATTAGGATTTTAAAATCAATGATTGAATAACAAATGATTTTTGTTTGGATTTCTAATTCCTTATAAATCAATGAACCAATAACCCCTCCTTAGTATATACTAAAAAAATCATTGTTGTGTAGACGATATGTAAAACGTTTTTTCTTTGTGAAGAAAACAAAACAAAGTGGACATAACTTTAGTTAAATATGGATAAAGAAAGTTCATTAATGCAAAACACGTATATAAATGTATATAATTTAAAAGAAAGACTGTCTACCGAGTACCTTCTAGGCGATTCTATCGGCGATCTATCACCGACCTCACACCGACTCACTTTTCTGGTGTTTTCCTTGCCGTCTTCGTGCGGATTCAACTTTCCGGTGGTCGTACCGGGTTGCTCTTGTCAGTTGTTGTCGATCCTCTGTGTTACTTTGGGCAAAAATGGGGAAGGATTTATGGGAATCGTTTCAAAATCTAAATCTGGGTTCAGAAAGAACTCCACTAAAGATGTCAGTTGAAGCAAGGCGTTCCCGAGATGCGGATAATCGCTTAAGCCTAATTGTCAGAGGCTTAAATCCTCATCATCAGAAACCAATCATGATCAAGGGAGCTTATCCCAAAGCTTGGCGATTAGATGGACGAATCACGAGCAGGATAAATCACAATCTCTGGATGGTTGCAATTGATAGATGGACCAATCGAAATCTTCCAACTTTCCTCTCCCAAATCTCCTTTTGGGTTAAAATTCTGCATATTCCAAAAGACTTTCGAACAGATCCAGTCATAAGAGAAGCAGCAGGGGTTCTTGGGCACATCGATGAAACCAAAATTATAGAAGCCACTGCCGAGTCTGAAGGAGAAGTCTTGGCTCATGTTACCATGGACATTACTAAGCGTCTAATTTTTGTCAGATCGATTGAGTTTGAGCCTGCAGTACCTCCGGTTCAAATTCGATTTATCTTCTCCAAATTAAGAAAGTTCTGCTTTACTTGTGGGTCTCTTTTACATGATGAATCAATTTGCGATATGGGATCTCCAGTTCTCCAATTGCAGAATGATGCACTTCGACATGGTGCTGAGCAGATGCAAGGGGTAAACCAAGAGGAAGATGAAGCCATGAATGACCAATCAGAATCATCAATCCAAGTAATTGGCACCATAAATCCTCCTCTGTTGAGAGGAACCAACAGTTTGTCAATTACTCCAGAGTTTCAACCTATAGCTGTCAAAGAAATGGAAGGAACATCTAAGGTTTCTCAGAGCCGAAAAAGATTAGCTGTGCAGGTGGATTCTCAGAATGAGAATTCTCTCACTGAAGTGAGTGAGAACCGTATTGCTCAACCTGATAACCCAATTGAAGTTGTAGGTCAAACTGATCCCATGTCCAAGGAGGTAGTTGAGGAGCCTAGTCATTGCCTGGATAGAGGTCAGAAAAGGAAAGGAGACAGTTTGTTGGAGGAGGATCAAGCTTTAACTAGTAAACCGAGAACCAAAGGTAATTTTCACAACAAAGGGGAGGTGGCAACCCCTAAACCACCATCGCCTCGATGAAGATACTACATTAGAATTATCAGGGGCTAAAGAGGAACCCTCTGACAATTCCATATTTGAAAGACATCAGGAAGTCTTCTAAACCTGATGTCATGTTCTTCGTTGAAACTAAAAACGGCTATAGTTATGTGAATAACTTATGCAAGGATCTTGGCTACGCCCATAGTTTTGTTGTAAATCCGGATGGGCTCAGTGGCGGAATGGCGGTTTTTTGGAATGATCGTGTTCAAATAGACTTTTTGGAGACGCCAACGCTCTATTACACTGATATGTATATATCGGAAGACGGTAGGTACTCCGCACACCTTTTGTCTCACTTATCTCTATGGACATCCGGAGAAAAAACAGAGAAATGAGTTATGGAAATATATGACTCGCCTAGCAGCATTGGGTTTATATCAAAGTAAGCCTAGACTTGTTCTCGGAGATTTCAATGATATAAAGAGTAATGAGGAGAAATCTGGAGGACCACGCAGAGCAGAGTCAAGTTTTAGAATTTTTAGACAGATGCTCAATTCCTCAGGATTACATGAAGTCAAAACGTTTGGAGGCAAGTACACTTGGATTGGACAGAGATGTAATCACAGAGTAAAAACAAGGATTGATAAGGCTGTGGCTACTGCTGAATGGCAAGATCTGTTCCCTAAAGCTCATGTCCATTTATTACCATGGGGAGGATCAGATCATCGTCCTATTCTCCTGGATACCAGTGATAAAAAATGGCGAGGTTACAAACTCTTCAGGTATGATAATCGATGGCGCTTTGAATCAGAAGTTAAAAATGAAATTCAGAGAGTTTGGCTTACACAGTGTCAAGACATTCCTGCGGCTAATTTTAATGAAGCAATTAAGAAGTTTAGAAACAGCCTCTGTGGAAGTCGAAACTAACACAATCGAGATTTGTCTAGGGTTTTAATTTAGGGATACGATTTGCGAGAATTCTCAAAGAACAACAGAACCAATTGATACCAAAGATGGTGTTCTTGATCTTATTAAGGAAAAGATGACTTTGATCGTACAAGAGTTTGATCGTAAAGAGAAAGATATTTGTGCTGTGAGAGCTTTGCGTAGTGTGAATTCTAGAGTGATCTCGCCCCCCTCTCCGCTTGAGCCTTGAGTTCTTTATATAGGGGTGATAAACCGCCTCTCCCGCGATATTCTCGGAAGATTTCCATTTATCTTGAAGTCGGCTTAGAATATCGCGGAATAAGGATAATTTCCTTATTCTTCGGAGTTTCTTGGAAGATATCCTGATTTGAGTTGATCCTTTGAGATTCTTCCTTATCATTTCCGGGTTTATCGGAAATGATCCTTCTCTTTCGGAAATGACGACCTACTTGGAAATGGTACTTTTGAAGACGAATATTTTACCAAGTCTTTGCCTCGGGTGACTTGTGCAATCGGCTCGGGGACAAGAGAGGCACGGCCCAGGCTCCCGAGGGAAACCGGCTCGGGTCCACGGAAGGAGCCAGCTTGGGGGTCCTGACACGAACCGGCTCGGATTCCCGGAGTGAACCGGCTCAGGCACTTGAAGGGAGCCGGCTCGGGTTCACAAGCTTGCTGATAGACCCCGAGCAGACTACGGGCGTTCCCCGAGGCAACCAATGCAGTGACCCGAGGTGAATGGTACTTTGCACCGAGGTGAATGGCAGTTTGCACCGAGGTGAATGGCAGTTTGCACCGAGGTGTCTTCAGAAGTTCCCTGAGGCGTTCGAAGTTCGGCTCGGTGCTATGGGATGAAATCCGACCCCAACAGTTAGCCCCCCAGCTCGTTGGTTCGAGGAGCAACTGATGAGCTTCACGACTGTTAGTCCGAGCCGTTTTTAACTTTGTTCCGAGCCCATCCTTGTATGCCGCGAAATTTTCAATGTTTCAAAGATGGTTAGTGTCCTTCGGTGATTCTGATTCTTGACGATTCAAATCCCTTTGACGCTTCATCTTCTTCTAGCGCGTGTGACGGTTGAGATTCTACCTCGAGAAGTGGAAGAGTCCTCTGCTGATTCCCGAGACCCGTGCGGATGTGAAGTATCTTAATGTTGGTCACGCGCACCCGACGCGCCCGAGACTTGGGCGGATGCGAAATATTATTAAACTCGTGTGTACCCGACGCGCCGAAGCGTTCTATAAATATCCGACTCCTGCTTCATTTTCTCATTTCGCAATCTGCAAGGAAAATTTTTAAGGTTCGCTTCTTTTCTCTCTGATTTTGATCTCTTTAATTTCCTCTGCTTTGCTTTATTTTCGGTTGTTCCTCCGCCGTGCCAGATCTTAGATTTGGTTTTTCCGATTTCAAATCTTGTTTTTCCGATTCTTTTTGATTCACCCGAGCCGAAGATGTCACTCTCTGATTCAAGTGATTCGTCCCGAGGCAGAAACATTCCTGTTCATGAAAGGAAGATGGTTTGGAGCAGTCCCTCAGAAGGACCCGAGGCTAGTTTTTCAGATCGCTCCGAGCGGAGCGGTGATAGCGAAGCAAAATCGTCATCCGTGGACCAAGATCCGAGCCAATTTGTGGCTCGGGAGGATACAGTTGCGAATGTGGCTCGGGATGAGGATCTTCCTGATGACCCCGAGGCAGCTTTAAATACGGGGAGAACGCGTCCTCTGTCTAAGGACGAAGCTGGGGGTTTCGTTGGCAAAAAGCGCCCGAGCCGTCTTTGCTCCCTGTAAAGGCCGAGGCGGTTCACTATGATTCCGACGCGGAGGCGAGAATGCTTCAGGCCAGGATGCAAGCGGCTAAGGCTCTACAACAGAAGACGAAGCGAGCCAGAAAAGTAAAAAGGCCCGACCCTCCTGGTTCTACGCTATCCACCGAGGACTCCCTCAGAGAATTGAGAGTTCGGTTCGGTTTCAGTGAAGGAGTCACGATGAGGCTTCCGACCCTGAGTGAACGAGCCGATAATCCTCCCGAGGGGTTCTTCACGTTGTACGAGGGGTTTTTCAGTTTTTGTTTCCTGTGGTTCCCTCTCCCGAGGCTGATCGTTGAGTATTTGTGGTCGTATAAGATTGCGTTGGCTCAGATCTCAACTCGTGGACTGCGGCATCTTATTGGGATCTTAGTAAGGAGTTTCGAGGCGGATAAAATTTTGTCCCTCGGGCATTTAAGGAATTTCCTGGAGGTTCGTCGTAGCCCGGGTCCTCTGGAAAGATACTATATCTCGCCGAGCAAAAATAAAAAAATCATTGGCGGGTTCCCGAGCAAGGATGAGAAGTACACTGATCATTTCTTCTTCGTAGCGATTGACGAGGACTCCGTCTCCGAGGGATGCCTTGATAAAATTGTTGCGAAATGGGGCAAAATCGGTAGTTTACCCGAAGCGTTTGAGTTTTCTTTCTGTCGTGATTTGATCGATTTTTTAACCAGTTTTGTTTTCATTTTCAGATCGTAACCCGACGTTCCTCGAGATTGTCCCCGAAGATCTTTTAGAAACTCACGAGGAGTTGGCTTCCCGGAAGTGTAACTGGACCAAGCATTTTACGCTCAAAAGAGTAGAGAAAGCGCTGAGATTACTCCGAGGCGTGTCCTGTTCATCATCATCATCCTCTTCGGATCACCGATTAAGCGGCTACATGGAGATGCAGAAAGCGAAGATGACGCTAAGGGAGAAAAAGGCTGCTGAGAAGGAAGCGGCCGAGCAGAAAAGAGCTCTCGAGGCGGTTTTCAAACCTTTGACCGAGGGGTCTAGAAGGCCCGAGGCGTCCGATCTACTCGAGGCGTCTGGCAGGCCCGAAGTGGTTAAGGGCCCCGAAGGATCCGGGGTTGATCTAGTTGTTACTTCGGTTCCTCCCGAAGCGATCGACGATGTTCCAGCTGGGGACAGTGGAGTTCAAGCTCCCGAGGTCGAACACACCGAAGTTGTGGTCGGCTTGGCTGCTGGTAGACAGGCCAAGTCTAAGGGAAAACGTCCTCGGGGCGACCACTCTACCGATAAGAGGAAGAAGTCGAAGAGCGATCACAGCAGCTCTCGACCGATTTACAAGGACAAGGTGGCCGTTGTTGACAGCCCCTGAGACTCTGGCCGAGGCGGAAAGATACGCCGAGACTTCGGCCAACTTTCTGAAGGTAATAATTTTTGTTGAACCTCTTGTTTCAAAGTTCTTTTCCGTTCCTAACATGTCGTTTTATCCCCAGGCATTCTCCTCAATGAACACGCTGGTTCGTTCTTACGAATCCGCGAACCGCCAACGCGAAGCTGCCAACGAGCAGTTTGAGATGGCCCGAGCGGAATCGGAGAGGAGAGTAACCGAGGCGACCGCAGCAAGGGAGAGGGCCGAGGAGAACGCTCGAATTCGGCAGAAAGCCGAAGCGGAGATTGAGCGCCTCAACCACCTATTTGCCGAGGAGAAGTCCTTTCGGGAGGCCGAGGTTGCTCGAGCCAGGAAGGCTGCCAAAAGGGAGGTTACCGAAGAGTTCGCCAAGCAGATCAAAACGATCGAGGCGAAGCTGGAACAGTTCGACCAGGTCGCTGATCGATACATGTACTTCTCCCAGGCTAAGGCTAACGCCGAGCTGATTGTCGAGCTCGAGGAGGGCAAGTCGATCGAGGACGAGAAGAAAGAGGTAGAGGCATGGAAAGAAGAGTTCGGGGACGCCGAAGCGGAGTATTCTCAGCTCGCGGTCGAGCTGCTCGAAACTTTGAAGATTCCTCCGGTGTCGCCCGACTCTGCTCATGATAGCCTTGGGAATAGGTCGGTGGAGGGCGAGGCGATCGAAGTTGGAGTTATCGATCAAGCAGGGACGAACCTGGGCTCCGAGGCTGCGCTTGTTCCAGACGAGGAGCAGGATAAGTGATCCCGAGGCGCCCCTTCTTTTATGCTCTGGATTTGTTTTGATTCTTCTCCTTTTTGTAAGACTTGTGCCTGGACGGCTTTATCCCTTTTGAACGCATGTTTCTTTAAATAATTGAATTGTTTCGTTCATCTTGAGTTGCTTCCGAAGTAACTTCGTAAACATGACTTGTTCATCGAGGAGTTAGTCTTTTCCGAGTCGTTTTAGCTTCCGAACCGAATTATACACCAATGTCAATTGGGTTTTGGTAAAAATGAGTTTCGGTTCAGTAGAAGTTATCTTTCGGAATAGCGAACCAGTGTTAAGATAACTGGGTTTTTGTAAGTGTGATGTGAAAAAGTTAATTCTCCCGAACAGTTTCTACTTCCGAACTGAAAGTGAAATGGATCGTTCACCAGTGTTAAGGTAACTGGGTTTTGGTTATATGGGACTAATCTCTATCGGTTGCGACCTGAGCTGATATAGTCGAAGCCAGTGCTTAGAAGCGAACTGGGGTACCAGTGTCGAAGTCGACTGGGTTTTCCGAAGACAATCTCTTGGTGGTCAGATATCTCCGACCGAATTGTCTCGAATACTTATATAGCGCGCTGTAACCGAAGCGGTGAAATGAGCTCTCTGTTCGTGGACGTGGCCATCATCCGAATGAACTGTTGGCTTTGTGGGTCGATAAGAAGACCGTAAAAGTTCCGGAGATGAATTTTGGGATAGATGTCGAGGTGGAATAAAATTGAAAATCCGAAGGGTAAAAACTTAGAGAATTTGAAAAATTTAGTGGGAGTATATATGTATACGGACACACTCCCCCCTTTTTTAATTAGGGGGGGTAGCTGAACTCGTCCGAGGACGAGCTGCCTACGTACCCTTTTCAGGGATCAAGCCACCCCGTAGTTCGAGTACATGCGTACCTTAGGTTTTAGCGGTAATATTTCCTTAGATGCATTGCGTTCCAGGATCTAGGTACCGCTTTGCCATTCATGTTGATGAGTTCGTAGACGCCGGGACGGATTACCTTTGCGATCGTGTAAGGTCCCTCCCAATTCGCGCCGAGCTTACCTGCGTTCTGCTCGGCGGTATTCTGGAAAACTTTGCGCAGTACGAGATCTCCTTCGTGGAAACGGCGATGCTTAACGTGAGAATTGTAGTACCGAGCCGTTGCATTCTGATAGTTCTGCATACGGATCAAAGCCGAATCCCTTCTTTCGTCAATTAAGTCCAGCTCGTCCAGCATCATCTGAGTGTTGGAATTTTCCTGCTCGGGGAGAAAACGTCTTCTTAGTCCCGGGATCTCGGCTTCGGTGGGAATCACACACTCCGTTCCGTAGACAAGGGCGAAAGGTGTTTCTCCTGTGGCCCGCCGCGGCGTGGTTCTGTGCGACCATAGTACTCCTTCCAATTCGTCGGCCCAGCGGCCTTTCTTCGCGTCGAGGCGCTTTTTTATTCCGTCGAGAATCGTCTTGTTTGCCGCTTCAGCCTGCCCGTTTCCCTGAGGGTACCGAGGCGTAGACTTGCTAAGGCGAATTCCCCATTTCTCGCAGAATCCTTCGAACCGAGCCGAAATAAACTTTGATCCGTTGTCTGTAACGATCTCGTAAGGTATTCCGTAGCGGCACACGATGTTCTTCCAGACGAAGTTCTCGACCTGCGCGTCTTTGATGCTGGCGTAGGAGTCCGCCTCGATCCATTTGGAGAAGTAGTCTGTCAGTACGAGGACGAGTTTCTTCTGCTTGGAGTTGTGTAGAGGTCCGATGATGTCCATGGACCATCGCATGAATGGATAAGGCGAAGTGATGGAAGAGAGGAGCTCGGCGGGTTGATGAATGGTTGGTGCGTGCCTTTGGCATTTATCACATCGTTGAGAAAACTTCTCGCAGTCTTTGACCATCGTCGGCCAAAAGTATCCGTGGCGTTTGATCTTTATAGCCAGGGCTCTTCCGCCAGAATGGTTTCCACAAGATCCGCCGTGTACTTCTTCCATGACTCTCCGAGCTTCGTTTCCTTCGACACAGATAAGGAGGGGACCGGAAAGTCGCCATTCAAAGAGCTCTCCGTCGATCATAGTCGTCCATCGGCGATGTAGCTTCGGATGGCTCCGATCCACTTGGCGTCGCTTCCGTATTCGGGCTCGGTTGCGTCCATAGTTTGCTGGTCTAGCTGTTCGATGTCCATTTCTTCCGGTTCTTCTGTCTCCCGAGCTGTTAGAACTTGATCCTTGCTACTATCTTCGATGCTCGGCTTTTCGATGAACTCGACCGGTATGATTCTCTTCAGATTAGGGTCGGAGGTTGAAGCTAGAGCCGCTAAGGCATCGGCCGATGTGTTTTCACCTCGTGGGATTCTGGTTAACTCAAACTCTCCGAACTGTTTCGCCAAGTCTTGAGTGAGAGCAAGATACGCTTCCATTCGTTCGTCACGAGCCGCGTATTCTCCATTGAATTGATTAGCCACGAGCTGGGAGTCGCAAAAGGCTCGCAGCTTGTTGATCCTAAGTCCCCGAGCCAGCTTAAGTCCTGCTATCAGCGCTTCATACTCAGCTACGTTGTTAGTTGCGTCGAAATTTAGCCGAAAGGATTGTTCGAGGATTTCACCCTCTGGCGATGCTAGGCGGATTCCGACGCCAGAACCTTGCTTTGAGGATGAGCCGTCGACGTGGAGGATCCAAACAGCGTTCGGTGACTCTTCTCGGGCGTTCTCTGCTGGCAGCTCGATGATAAAATCGGCCAGGACTTGAGATTTCGCGCATGTTTTGTTTCTGTATTCGATGTCATACTCGCTGAGTTCTACTGCCCACTTGGCCAAGCGTCCCGATTGGCTCGGACTGTGCAGGATAGTTCGGAGTGATACGGGCGCCATGACGACAATTGAGTGAGACTGGAAATATGGCTGTAGCTTCCGAGCTGACATTACTACGGCGAGGGCGAGCTTTTCAGTTTGCGGGTAGCGTGTTTCCGCGTCGGTGAAGGTTTGTGAGACATAAAATATCAGCTTCTGCTCTCCTCTGTCTTCCCTTACTATGACTCCACTTATCGCTGTATCCGAGACTGCGATGTACAGGAATAACGGCTCGCCCGAGACTGGTTTTGCCAACACCGGTGGATTAGCCAGATACCTCTTCAGTTCCTGGAAAGCCTCTTCGCAGCGATCGGTCCATTCGAACTTTTTTTTTCCGCGCAGAGTATCGTAGAAAGCCAGGCATTTATCAGTGGACCGCGAGATGAATCGGTTCAGGGCTGCGACTCTCCCGGTGAGACGTTGGACTTCGCGCTTGTTCTATGGTGAAGGCATGTTCAGTAGAGCATCGATTTGCTTCGGGTTTGCCTCGATGCCTCGGTGAGTTACGAGATATCCCAAGAATTCTCCCGACTTTACCGCGAAACGACATTTTGCCGGGTTGAGTTTCATGTTGTGCTTGTTGAGCTGGCGAAAACAGTCGCGTAGATGGGCTATGTGATCGCTTTCTTCAAGGGATTTGACTAACATGTCGTCGATATAAACTTCCATCGTCTTCCCTAGCTGCTCGGAGAACATCCTGTTGACGAGTCGTTGATACGTTGCGCCAGCGTTCTTGAGTCTGAAGGGCATGACTTTGTAGCAGTAGATACCTCGGTCGGTGATGAAGGCTGTCTTCTCGCGGTCGTCGGGGTGCATGAGGATCTGGTTGTATCCCGCAAAAGCATCCATGAACGATAGCAACTTATTTCCTGCAGTTGCTTCTACTAAACGATCGATATGTGGGAGCGGAAAACTGTCTTTGGGACAAGCTTTGTTCAGATCGGTGAAGTCGACGCAAACTCTCCACTTGTCGTTCTTCTTTTTAACTACGACAGGATTCGCTAACCAGTCTGGATATCTTGCTTCGGATATTGAACCGATCTTCAGGAGCTTTTCTACTTCGGTGTTCACGGCATCAGCACGATCACGACCCAATTTTCTTCGCTTCTGCTTGATGGGCTTGAAAGATGGGTCAACATTCAGCTCGTGGCAGATTACGTCGATGCTTACCCCAGGTAGATCTTCAGCCGACCAGGCGAAGGTGTTGATGTTCTCTTTGAGGAATGAGATGAGCTCGGTCTTGATTTCCTCGGTTAGGTCGCTGCCAATTTCCACGCATCGTTCAGGCCGTTCGTCGTCGAGGCCAATGGAGATTACAGGATCCGAGGTAGGCTTCTTCTCCTCGCGTGCCTCCTCGATCTGTAATTGCTATAACTGTTTAGATATAGCCTTCTCTTCACTCCGGCCAAGTTTTGATTTTTTGTGATCGGTTTCAGCCTTTGCTTCAGTGACAGGGTTTCGGAGTTTGTGTGCTGCCATGAAAAACATCCGAGAATTTTTCTGACTGCCCCAGATCGTTTTCACGCCATTGGGGGTCGGGAATTTGACACACAGATGATATGTTGATGCGACAGCTCGCATTAGATTTAACCACGGAGTTCCCATTATGACGTTGTAGATGGTAGGTCGATCGGTGACTGAGAAGTTGACTATCTTTGTTACCCCGTCGGCTCGGACTGGTAGTTGGATGGTTCCAAGCGTCATCAAAGTTTCCCCTGAAAATCCGAGGACAGGCCTCGGGGTCGGAATTACCTGTGACATGTCGATGTTCATTTGTCGGAGCGTTTCGCGAAAGATTACGTCGATGGTGCTACCGGTGTCAATTAATACTCGGTAAATATCATGGTCTCCTATCGCTAAAGTGACGACGATTGGATCGTTATGAGGCATGTCGAGTCCGTTTGTCTCGCTTTCTTCGAATGTGATCACGTTGTTAGGTCGATCGAAGCGTCTTGTCCAGTTGCTAGGCGTCTCGGCTCGGCGTTGATAAGCTTTGATTGCCGCTACGGTGTCGGGACAGTATGGCGATCCACCCATTATGGTGAGAACCTTCTGCCGCGTACCATCTCGGCCTTCGTCTTCCGTCCCCCGGGTTCTTTTCTGAGACTCCTGGTTCCTTGGTTCGGGGTCTCTTCCCGGGTTGGTCTGCTCGGGCTCTGGCTCTGGCTCGATATCTTTAAGAGTGACGTTCGTCCCGAGCTCTCCAGCTAGGAATTTGGTTGCTAACTTAGCTCCGAGGCTTCGGCATCTCGAGGTATGGTGGCCGAAAATTTTGTGGCGTTCGCAATATTCTTGATCATTGCTCG